GTCGAAAGGAATCGATTGAGCTCAAAAATCACGCAAACAAATTTTTGATTTTTGGTCGAAATTTTTCCAAGGGTGGAGGTCGATTTTTTGAAAAAATTAAATTTTTCTCAAAATGTCTTAAATTTTACATCATTTTCAGCTCACGGACGCGAAGAATGAACCGAACTCATTGTAAAACACGTTAGAAGTGAACAAAGTTCAAATGTTCAGCGTTTTTTGTCCAAATCAGTGTCGTGCCCGTAGGGCTCGGCACAACAATCGCATTGGAGTCCAATATATTAGTAGCAAATGCATATTTGGCTTGAACTAACTCATCGTAACTCGAAAAATCCACACGCCACTGCTTTTCTCGCATGAAAATCAATTTAGGATTCTTCATTCTATCTAGAAGAACACTTAGGGGCGCTGTTGCTTCATGACCCATCACCAACCGAACAAAAACCTTCTGTATTGTTCCAGACACCCGAATGAAATCCCCGTGACATCGCCGGCAGTTTTTCCCGCTGTGGTTCCCAGAGGCAACAAAGACGCCATCATGAGCAGCATCGCTGACTCCTACATGAGCCAGAAGGATCAGCAACCGCACAAGAAGTACAGGAAGTTCAAGAAAACGTCCAGAAAATACCGTAAGTGTGCCACCATGCATCACTGGAAGCTGCTGCATTAATTGAGTTCTTTTGGTGCAGGCCCGCCACGAGACTGTCGCGTGACCGATTGGTCTGCATGGAGCCTCTGCAGCAAATCGTGCGGAATAGGAGAAATGCAACGCAAACGGGAGGTGGTGAAGCATGCAAGACGTGGCGGCCGACTCTGTCCAGCCTTGATAGAAACGAAATGGTGCGGAAGTGCTCGATCCTGCAACAAGGAGTACTTTAGCTGGTAATTTGAGTGCGCGCAACCACCAAGTCCTCCTTGATCGGAACATTGTCTTCGTCTCAGCCGCCGGGAAGTGTTAAGACTGACGTTATATGGACCTTTTATTTCTCGCCAGGCCTGGAAACATCCACTTGAAGCGATTTTCCAGCTCTGTTAACCGATAATGCCAAAAAAGTAACCATCGACCAGTCCCCCGTTCCAGTCCTTCGGGCGCAACAAATGAACATAATGAATAATTATGATAAGACTTTTCTGACTGATATTCGACATTTTGGTATTGAATGTGTGTTGATGTTTTCTCATAACCGTCAATGTTTTCATATGTAAAGGTGTTCCTTCCTCTTTTCCTCTTTTCACTCACGTCAATGTGTTGTTCTTGTAGACAATCAGATTTTGCGGTCGCTTTTGCTTGTTTTCGCCTCAATCTCAGGTACTCTCTCATAGAGTGACTTCACCAAATTTTGGGCCGGTCTTCAGGCCTTCTTTCCTCAATGAGGAACCTACTAATTTATTACTCTTTGTATATTAATTTTAGTTAATTAGGGGTGGTCAATAGAAGGGCAATTTTTGAAATTTTCTGAAAAAAACGTTCTGAAACCCTGCCCTGAATGGGCTCACTGATACCAAACTAATGAAAAACTTGGGTAGCTAGTAAGTAGATAATATTGTTTGTAGATAAGTTCTATATTGGTGAGGCGGATTCATTTTTTACAAACTTCTTTTTGGGTGTTTCGCCTCAAAAATGTTTGTCTTTAAAAAAGACAGAATTTCCTCACGTCTTTTATTACAGATTGATAAATAGTGCTCCTATTT